GGGAAAGACAGAGAAATCTGGAGAAAAGATGGTAGACGGAGGTGGTAGCCAGATAAAAGTCTTATTTACCCCTAAAATATCTATCATGTGCCTGACACGTGATCAAATTTGACCGAAAAACAAAAAGAATTGACAGAAAGGACTAGTGGTGCAATGCGAGATCTAATTGAAACACCAACGTAACAATTTTGCGACGTGAGGGACGAAAAGTAAAGTTGAGTCTTAATTGAGGGACTATTACTACAATTTTGCCTTTTTTGTATATCTTTTCTCTGTTGGAATATAAAATATTAACTTATGAGTCCTTAATAATGTAGATGATAAGATTAATATTCAACCATTTTATAATATGAAATTAAGGACAATTATGATTGTAATGAGCGGATGAATTAATAATCAATATGAAATGATATTATGAAGTGGCTAAGGAGAGTAGTTAGTACCGTCTTAACTTAACTTATTAACGGGTTAGCGCTTGAGTGCTCCTATTCGAATTATTTTATAAAAATTTGTGAAGGGTCCCCTCTAATGCAAAATCTTGGCTCTGCTCGGAAACAACAGCTTCAGCCATGAAATCCATCCAGAAATTGGCCGTCTGTGTTCGAAATTCAAACAAAAAAACCACCACACACAAATTATTGATTTGTGTTTTCCACAAACAGTCACCAAATAGCATCTAAAAAAGATAGCAGACAAGAAGATGAAAAGTGAAGAGGAGAAGCATATTGGAGAGAGTATGAGAGAAAGAGAGATGGATACCTGAAGAAGAGTGAAGAGAATAACCATTGGAGAAGATAGCAAAGAAGAACCCTAGGGAGAAGAAGATAAAAATAGTGTCTGATTTTTATTGTAGAACGTGTGTTCTTTTTTTCCTAACCTTATAATTAAGCATGTATTATCTAAATCGGAGTGTGTGGGTTGTATTAGTTAGTTAGGTAAGGAGAGTATTAATAGCCCAAACTGTTTAAAATAGTCATGTAATTAAATAATATAAGTTGATCACGAAAGTGGCCACCACATGCGTCCGAGTGACAAAATGTGAGTATAGAGTGAAATTCAGTTTCGGGAACACATCGCCTAATCACGGAGTCTGAGCAATACTTCCACAAATATGGATCATCCCACACTTAGGACTTGGCGGTTTTCAGCAATTTGTCTTTTTGCCCTCTTGATAAGACCTTGGGTATATTTCCTGTTGCAAGAAAATTGATAATGTCAGCATAACATGGGTCAGAAACTTGTAATGCAAAATGTTGCCCATTAGGAAAGGATTCACGAAGAGGAAGAGTGTCTTCTTCGGTATTGAAGTTAGTGATCAATCGGCTAAGGTGGTCAGCAACCACATTCTCCCATCCCTTTTTATCCCTGATTTCTATATCAAACTCTTGGAGCAACAAAACCCATCGTCCTTCTTTGCCAAGAGATATTTCAAAGCTGCATGATCAGTAAAAACAATTACTTTAGAGCCTATCAAATACGAACGAAATTTCTCTGAAGTAAAAATTACAGCTAAAAGCTCTTTCTCAGTAGTTGAATAGTTCAACTAAGCATCGTTAAGGGTATGGCTTGCATAATATATGGCATGCAATCTCTTCTCAACTATTTGTCCCAATATAGCTCCAACTGCAAAATTAGATGCATCACACATTAATTCGAAAGGTAAGTTCTAGTTAGGAGGAATAATGATAGGTGCAGTGGTGAGAACAGTTTTGAGCCTTTGAAAAGCTGCCAAGCATTCATCATTAAAATCAAAATTTGCATCTTTATCAAGCAAGCTGCACAATGGTCGAGAGATCTTGGAAAAATCTTTTATGAATCTTCTATAGAACCCGGCATGTCCTAAGAAGGATCGGATCTCTTTTACTGATGTGGGAGGTGGCAAACTGCTTATCACGTCTATTTTGGGTTTGTCAACCTCGATGCCTTGACTGGAAATCACATGACCTAAAACAATTCCCTGTTGTACCATGAAATGACGCTTTTCCCAATTAAGAATTAAGTTGCATTCCTAGCATCTTTGCAAAACTAAAGACAAGTTGTTAAGGCAAGAATTAAATGAAGAACCAAACACACTAAAATCATCCATGAATACTTCAAAGAATTTTTCTACCATATCGGAGAAAATACTCATCATGCATCGTTGGAACGTGGCCGGGGCATTGCATAATCCAAATGGCATACGCCGGTAGGCAAAGGTGCCATAAGGACATGTGAATGTCGTCTTGTGTTGGTTTTTAGGGGCTATGGTAATTTGGTTGTATCCTAAATAGTCATCCAAGAAACAGTAGTAACTGTGACCTACAAGTCGTTTAAGCATGTGGTCAATAAATGAAAATGAAAAATGATCCTTACGGGTAGCGGTATTTAACTTTTTGTAATCAATGCAAACACGCCATCCCGTTTTAACACGAGAAGGAATAAGTTCATTTTCCTCATTTTTCACAACAATTATGCCGACTTTTTCGGAACCACTTGGACTGGGCTTAGCCACTTGCTATCGGAAATAGGATAAATGATACCCACATCCAATAGTTTCATAACTTCTTTGCAGACTACCTCTGTCATGATTGGATTTAACCTGCGTTGAGCATCTTTGGTGGGTTTGGAATCATTTTCCAATAAAATTCTGTGCATGCATGTCGTTGGGCTTATTCCCTTGATGTTCGCAATACTCCAATCAATTGCTGCCTTGTGTTCTCTTAACACCCGCATCAACTTCTCTTCATTTCCACATTGAGATTGCTAGCTATAATCACGAGCAATGTCTTTGTTTCACCTAAATAAGCATACTTCAGATGGGATGACAATGGTTTGAGCTCTAACTCCGGTGCTCTGTCAAGAGAAGGAACAAGCGTTTCAGTATTGACTGGCAAAGGTATAAAGTTAGGAGTATACTTACGTGGCACGGCTGGACATGCATTAAAGAATTGCACAGCCTCATGTAATTCATTGTCATCAATTTCAATGACTTGAGGATTTTGTGTCAAAACCTTTTCTAATGAATTTGTACCATGAGTTCTATTGAAAGTAGTTTGCACAATTTGATCCAATGTATCAATACGAAAGCATTCATGTTCATCATTAGGAAGTTGCAAAGCATCAAATACCTTGAACGTTATCATTTCCCCTTGAACTGTCATTGACAATGTTCCTTGTCGAACATCAATCTTAGTACCTGCAGTGGCCATGAAAGGGCGACCAAGGATCAATGGGAGATCCACACCCGGAATAAGGGCTTCTTCCATTTCTAGCACCAAAAAGTCAGCTGGTAAAATGAGATCATTTACTTTCACCAGTACATCTTCCAGGATTCCCCTTGGATATCTCACTGAACGATCTACCAATTGAATGCTGACAGAAGTTGGTTTAAGATCACCTAATTTGAGGGCTTCACAAACAAAATAAGGTATTAAATTAATTGAAGCACCTAAATCAATTAAAGCTTTCTCAAACAATTTATCACCAATTATACAAGGAATTGAAAAACTTCCTGGATCTTGTAACTTAGGAGAAAGCTTCCTTTGCAAAACAGCAGAAACCTCTTCCGTTAGTGCAATCGTTTCATGATCTCTGAATTTCCTCTTGTTGGTACAAAGGTCCTTCAAGAACTTTGCATACCTTGGAATTTGCTTAATTGCATCCAAGAGAGAAATGTTGACTTGCACCTTTATGAAAATTTCCAATATGTCCTTGGCATGTTGATTTTGCTTGGAACTCGTAAACCTGTGAGGAAAAGGAGCATGTAAGATATCTTCATCAGTATGTTCATGACATACCTTCTCCTTCCTTGCCCTTCTCCCAATTTCATCCTTTGGGATCCATTCAGATGAAGAAGCTGCTTGTTTATCTTCCTCCATGTTGATTTCATCTTTTTCATTAGTCCCAGTCACTTGCTCAACCTGTATCTCATCATGATTTTGAATCAGACTTGTAGAATTATCAACCTCACCAATTACCTTACCAGTTCTCAAGATAATTGCTTGAACATGATCATGCCCAGCTGGTATCACTGTTTGGCTAGGCATCATCCCAGCTTCCCTTTGATTCAAGGCTGTGGCAATTTGTCCCACATGATTTTCTATGGCCTTGTCTGTTTTCTGCATGTGGGTGTCATTCCATTGCATGTAGCTTTCTGTCTTCTTCATGAAAGTATCTGTGGTTCTAGCCATAGAAGCAACAAGTTCTTCCAAAGATTGTCCTGCAGGTTGTTGGTGAGATTGGCTTGAGCTTGGTTGGTTAGGTGGTGGTGGATTGTAATGTAGGACTTGACCATGAGGTGGGTGAGTATTGTGTTGGCCTTGATATGGTTGAGATGGCCCTTGTTGAACATTTGAATTGTCGCTCCACCTGAAATTCGAATGGTTTCTCCACCCTGGATTGTATGTTTGTGAGAAAGGGTCATTCTTAGGCCATTAATTTTTCTGAAATGAGCCCAATGCATTTGCTTCCTCCATCACCAAGGGGCAAGCTTCAGTTGCATGATCTGTTGTGGTGCAATAGGCACAAACCTTGGATGATTTGCATCAAATTTTTTACCAGCTTGGTCAGGTTTGCCATTTAAGCTTCCATATTAAAAAGAGAACTTATCTCATAAGATCCAATTCTTCTAGATGGATTTTGCCTGAAGTTGAATTGGTGAGAATTTGTAGCAACAAGCTCAAAGATCGCTCTTACTTGTGTTGGAGTCTTGTTCATTATAGTTCCTCATGCAGTTACATTCACATTCATTCGATCCGATTCAAAAAGTCCTTCATAGAAATTCTGCATTAGGAGCCATGCTTATATGTTATGATGCGGACAAGAAATTAGACGCCTCTTGTAATGGTTCCAATACTCATGGAAGTTTTCTCCCTCCCTTTGCAGAATTCCCGTGATCTAGTTTCGAATTTCATTTGTCTTATGTGATGAGAAGAAGTTTTGCCAGAATTGTGCAGCAAGATTCGTCCAAGTTGTGATGGAGTTAGGTGGCAGGGAATGAAGCCATTCTTTTTCTGTGTCCTTCAAATGGAACGAGAAAAGTCTCATTCTTATTTCTTCATCATTCATGCCATCGATTTTTATTGTGGAACATACTTCCTCAAATTCTTTGATATGCATGTTAGGATTGTCTCCGGGATTCCCAAAGAATTTAGGCAATAGATGTATCATGCCCAATCTCAACTCAAAGTTATTCAAGGTAGTCACGGGATATACTATGCAAGATGGTTGTCCA